AGGCAGAACATTTCATAGGTAATATTACGTTTTTTTCTGTTTTTGAATGTTCTGAACTTTTGTGCTAATCAGGTAACGTTATTGATGATGACAGCCACTTACTGCATTCACCATACGGCAAAGCAGCTCCAACTCGCACTAAACACTCGGCTTATGGTAGTTTTGTTGAAAATAATATTTTGTTTAAAATCAGCAAACAATGCAAAAGAAATATGACAACGAGATGCTGCGCTGCCAGAAACTTGTATTATTGTCGGCTAACGTTAGTGAAAGAGTCGTTCAGGGGATTCATTCACAAACGAATCGCTCTCTCCGTCAGTATGAGAAGTGAAAGCAGGAGAGGAGCTGTGTTTCAGGACACGGATTATATTAAATTTAACAGGGAGGGTGAATAGTACATTTCTGTACACACAAACACAAGCTTTTTGTCAGGAATGCCCGTGCGGTCACTGATCCATCAATGTAGAAAAGTGATGTAAAATTATAATTTTTCGTAGTTAGAAAAAAAAATTACACACTAACATCCAGAAAAACTCCCGATCATAGATATATGTGTATATCTCTGGCTTTGGATGGCCACAGTCCTCCACTGTACCTTGGTCCCGCATTCATTTCAAAGGAGCGCTACCCTGTAGCAAGATGGCGGCGCTATCGACGCATTCCGTCCAATAGATAACAATAGGCCAGGCGACATCTAGTGTATATATCTATGACACACACACACACACACACACACACACACACACACACACACACACACACACACACACACACACACACATTTAAGTTTGCACTGTTTTTGCATGTCTACTTGCAGCAAATGTGGCAGGATACAAGTTAATGTGCACTGTTGTATGGATGTCCATTATGCTATTGTACAAAATAAACCTGATTTAATGTCCACAATCGCTAAGCCCCGCCCTTCTTAGTTACTGTTGCTACGCCTGTCAAGCTTTCGTGCCTGTCATGTCTATTACAGTATGTATGCTCGGGTGTCAGACATTGCCAGAAATATAATTAGTAATTTTTGGTGAAGAGGTGAGATATCTGAGAAAGCCAGACAAAAAAGGACTGCAGTATGCATTACAGGGGGACATTCATGACAAAATAGGCAACCGATTAGAGAATAATTGAATCAAAATTGAAGTTAGGTTAGCCTAGCTACCTCATACGTTGACCATTCAACAGCTTAGTTCATGCACAGCAGGATAGGTGACATTTAAAAATAATCTAGTAATAACTATTTAAACCGTTATTTCCCCCCTTTTTTTTTTAGCCAAAAAGCCTGATAGACTTTTGTTGTGCAATGAAATATAGCATTACAAACCAGCGAGGAAACACGCATGGACAGTGCTTGTACATCATTTATAGAAAAGGGCAGAAAGAGGAAATTTGATGGATTTGTGCCGAATATTTGACCCATAACAATGTACAATACCTATAACTGTCAGTATGTTTGTTTGCTCTTTATATAGTTTCTATTCTAATTTGCTGTTAGGTGGAAAAAATAAATAAATTGAAATGCCGATTAAAGTATAAATAGCAGAAGTGAACAAATAGATTGTCCCTACCAGCAAATATTAATCAGATACCAAATATAAAAGCAAACACTAACCTCGTATAACGCTGTTACTAATGACTAAATCTCTAAAAGACCGACAAAAACATCAGTGAATTGTAGCTCTGACATGGACATGAGGGTTATAAATGACTGGAAAACATCTGTGGGTGAAGTATATTGATCTCAAGAGCTCAGTTTGTGATGACATCTTGGTTTGTTCTGTTGATATGTAAGTTAATTTTAAATATTCATAGCTTGAAACAGATGGAAATATGATTGCTATTACTATGACTACTATGGCGAGGGCTTAAACGAAGCAGTGCTCATAATATCGAGCGAAAAGAAAAAGAAAGCTGGGAAACATAACCTGCTTTGCATTTTTGTAGGAAACACAGTTTAGATCTTTTCAGGGTAAAAAGTGTGTGCGGCATTGCTATCTATTACTGAATATGTCAGGAATATCAAAAACAAAACCAATTTAACTCTGCTCCTTTAGCGCCCCTCACAGAGCTTGGTCCACGCTGGCATTTCTCCCTTTGGGTTTTAGGTTTTGAAATGGGAAAAAATTCCACTACCCAGTCCAAACTTTCAGGATAACGGGGATCATATTTGCACAATCCATATGCCTACGTTGCAGCTTGTTGCTCCTCGCTCCAAAGCTTGACGTGCATAGCTACGGTTGCTAAGTCATGATTGGTTTTCGGCGGTTTTCAGGTGTGGCTTAGCGAAGGGTCAATTGTATAATTAAAGCATCTTCGTTTATAGTTTTACTGACACTATGCAGCTGTAGTGATTCCAGTGATTATGAATTACACAGAGATTTTACATTTCTTTATTAAATACATTAACTGTGTTAATACACTTACACTTACAATTGTAACACTCAATCTAGAGGTGCAGCTGATCACAGATAATTGGAACAGATCTTTTAATTCCAGTTTCTTTGCTAATCATGTTCTGTGGACATGTTCATATACATTACTACTGAGACATGTTAATGTGCTCATCTCAGTCAATTCAGTGAGTGGGGAAAACCACACTGCTACATCCCATTGTGGTGGGCATTACATTTGCTGGGATTTGAAT